TACAAAGATTCTTGGAATTGTACCACTCATCTGGTGTCTTGTTGGTGGATAAGGGAAGGAAGGGGGGATGGGAGGTTTGCATTGGTGCAACACCGCCTGGGATGGGGTGCGGCCTCCTGGCAGGGTTGTGCAAACTCGGGACCCCTGCCTCTCCCCTCCGCAGTGCCTCCCCTGCCCTCACTGAATCCCGGTCCAGCGCTAGAAGAGGGCCAAGGCCTGACGCTGGCAGCCTCCTGCACGGCCGAGGGCAGCCCAGCCCCCAGCGTGACCTGGGACACCGAGGTCAAAGGCACAGTGTCCAGCCGCTCCTTCAAGCACTCCCGCTCTGCCGCTGTCACTTCAGAATTCCACCTGGTGCCCAGCCGCAGCATGAACGGGCAGCCACTAACCTGTGTGGTGTCCCACCCTGGCCTGCTCCAGGACCAGAGAATCACCCACAACCTCCAAGTGTCCTGTGAGTGCTTGTTGCTTGGGAGGGAGACCCCTGGGTTCCAAGGATGGGTGAGGTACTTTGAGGCCAGTCCCAGGCTGGCCAGTCTGGGTCCTAGAGGCTCCACTGTGAGAGAGATTAGCCTATAGAGGGCGGTCATAGCCCAGGGGTAGATGACCTGGAGCCCAGTCCCAGCCCAGATGACCTGGCAAGTCACTGGGATGGATCCCAAGTCATAGACTGTACGAACATACCAGGCTATTTGGTATCTTACAGGACCACCATTGTTCTGTGGTCCTTCACTTACCAAACTGTCATGCAACGCTTGGCTGTAGACTCTGGGTTTAGGGAACTTCAGCGTTCTTGTGTCCTTACTTTTTCTTTTCTTTTTCTTTTTTTTTGCTATACGGTACATGCACTCACCAGAGAGAGACAGAGACAGAGAGAGGGAAAAAAAGAAAATAAGAAATCATCCCCAAGAGGCATGGCCATGCCACAATCACTTCTCCTCCATTCTTCTCTCAGGATTTTGGGCACACACACTCATGCACATGGCATGATCCCTGAGCCATCAGGTCTGGGATTTGAACTGCAGTCAGCCATATGGAAGTCCAGCATCCCAACCACCATACTACCTACTGCCCCCCATCCCGTCCTTATCATTGTAAAGGAGTTTGCCTGCCTCACATAGCGATTGGGTGAATCAAATACAGTGATGCACTGTGCAGCGACGTTTAGGTCAATATGGTGGTCCCGTAAGATTACAATACACTTACCTGGCTAGCCTAAGTGTATACAGGTTAGGCCATTAGGTTCGTGTAAGTGCACTCTGTGAGAGTCACACCGTGACTAACCTGTCCAACAATGCAGTTCTCAGAACGCATCCCCATCATTAGGTGACACATAAATGTATAAACACAGAATTGAAAGCACTTTGTAAAATATACAGCTTAGGGTTTGAAGACAGATACACTTGGGATGAACCCTAATTCTGCTATTTACCAGCTGGTATTTAGTCTTGTTAGGCTTCATTTTCTTCGTCAGCGAAATGAATATAATTAGACCAACTTTCCAGGGTTTCGATGAGAATTCGAAACCACGAATGCACAGCATCTTGCGCGGGGCTGAGTGCCTAGAAGGATCTTGGTAAATGGTAGATGGTTTCCCTGGCAGAGATGGTAAGCCTCTGGGAGGATAAGACGCTTTTCAGCTCAAACCCACCTGGCATTTGGCACAAAGTAGGTCCTGAACTAATGTTTGCTAAAGGAATGAATGTACCAGTCACATTATTAAGCCTTTGAGGAAACAGGCAGCATTTATAGGGCACCTGCTCTGTGAGTAGCCCTATGCCAGGTACCCCAGGAGGTCTGGAAAACAGCACGATTACCACCACCCCGAGGGGCAGAGGGGCTCACTGTACAGGCAAACCACTACCAAGCATGGGGTATCGACAAGGACACCTTCTGAGAAATGCATCGTTGGGCAATGTCGTCATTGTGCAGACATCCTAGTGTGTCACACCTGGATGACAGCGTCCACTGCACACCGCGCCTGCACCGCTGTGTACACGGCATCTGAGACCACCGTCCTATCTGTGGCATGCAATGACAGCGTCGTTATGTAGTGCATGACTGTAGCCTCTTTGAGCCCAGAGAAGGAGGGACCGCGTGGCCAGAAGCCATCAGCCAGATGGGGCTGAGTTAGGTTTGGCAGGAGATGAGCAGGATGGAGGAGGACAGGGGGAAGCTGTGGTGGGCCGGGCAGGGCCCTGGGCAAAGACCCTTTGAGAAAGCACATAATCAAAGGCATTGTACCCATTCTTTCTGCTCCCACCTCCCATTCCAGTCCTTGCCGAGGCCTCTGTGAGGGGCCTGGAAGACCAAAAGCTGTGGCAAGTTGGCAAAGAAGGAGCTGTGCTCACGTGCCTGAGTGAAGGGCAGCCCCCTCCCTCCTACAACTGGACACGGTAAGGGCCCAGGCCTGGAGGAGGCCCTCAGGGCCAAAATGTACTCAGCATGGGCTGGAACAGTATATTCTAAACCCCAGATCAACTAGGGCATGTGTTTTGACCAATTCACAAGTATGCATGGTTACCAGAAATTTTAAATTTATTATAAGGTGCATGTGCTTGCCAGAGAGAGAGAGAGAAAGAGAGAGAGAAACAGAAAGCAAGAACCCCAAGGTGGGGATGACCTGTTGTAATCCCTTCTCCTCCATTCACCTCTCAGGATTTTGGACACACACACACACATGCCTGGTGTTTTGTTTTGTTTTTTCTTTCTTTTTTGGGAGAGGTTTTTGCTATAGGGCGCTAGCACTCGCCAGACAGACAGAGAGAGACAGAGAGACAGAAAGCGAGAAATCACCGCCTGGGGGGGATGGTCACGCCGCAATCCCTTCTCCTCCAGTCTCCTCTCAGGATCTTGGGCATGCACGCACACGCGCCCGGCGTGAGTTTTAAGCCACCGGGTCCGGGACACGAACTGCAGTTGACTACGTGGTAGTCCAGCGACATAGCCATTAGGTTAACTGCTGGTCCCCCTGGTGTGTTTTTCAAACCACTGGGCCCGGGATTTGAACCTCACAGTCAGCCATGTGGGATCCAACCACCTTAACTACCATGTGACCTGGCTGGCCTAGTCACCAAATATTATTATTAACTTGTCCCAGGGACTATAGGATACATGTTCATTGGTAGGGAATGAACTGCAAAACATAACATAGTATTTAAATATTATATTTTATGTATTTACGTGAGTGCATAAATGTCAAAGATACGGCTACTGTAACTGTTGTTAAATCAGTTCTTCTGTAATCATTACAGTGTGGCCAGCACCTCAAAAACACCACCCACCTCCTCCAGCTCCCTCAGAGTCCTTGGCTTTTTTCCAGGGTCTGAAATGTCCAGGGAATCTGGAGGAGGGGAGGGGAGGCAGGTGCACATGTGTGTGAGCCCATGAAAAGCATGTTCTCATGTGTGAGCATGTGAACTGTGCAGTGTCCTGGTGCCTGGGGCTCTGTTCATGGAACCTGCATCATGGGCTTTGGGGCACACAGTCACAGTTTCCAAGTGCCTGCGAGCCCAGCTGGGAGTGGCGTGTCCTGCAGTGTAGACTGTGAATTGTGTGTGCCTGGTACCCTGGATGACGTGATGCCTGTAGGAGTGTGTGGGATGGCACGCGTGTGGATCTTCCCCACGTGTGGGGGGTGCCCGGGTCAGGCTGGGCGGCCAGGAGCAGGGGACTCTGCCTAGACCTGCCTAGGGGAGGGAGGGGCACCGTGGGAACAGCCGGCGGCTCTGGGTGACGTCATGGGGGAGGGGGGGAGAGCTGCCCAGGCACGTTGGGTGGTGGCAGCCCCGGCCTGCCCCAGCTGGCACCGTTCAGCTTCCCTGTCCTCCAGGCTGGACGGACCTCTGCCCAGTGGGGTACATGCAGAAGGGGGCACTCTGGGCTTTCCCCCACTGACCACGGAGCACAGCGGCACCTACATCTGCCATGTCAGCAATGAGTTCTCCTCGAGGGACTCTCAGGTCACTGTGCATGTCCTTGGTAAGTACTGGGGGCAGAGACAGGGGACCTGGGCCCGGGATCTTTGGGGCTGATGGACAGAGAGAGTGAACTGGGGGGGTCTTTACGTGGAGGGGGCTGGGATGTGCATACTTCCCAGAGGCTCAGGCCGAGGGGGCGGTGTTGGGTGAGGGGCTGCAGGGTCTGTGCCCGTGGCGATCTGGGCACCCATCTGACAGTGCCCGTCCCCAGCAGACCCGCAGGAGGCGTCCGGGAAGCAGGTGGACCTGGTGTCGGCCTCGGTGGTGGTGGTGGGCGTGATCGCGGCGCTCCTGCTCTGCCTGCTGGTGCTCGTGGTGGTGCTCATGTCCCGGTACCACCGGCGCAAGGCCCAGCAGATGACCCAGAAATAGTGAGTACCAGCTGCTCTGGCGTGGGTAGAGCTAAGCCCGGGACGAGGAGGGGGGCGGGAGGTGGGCCAGGACGAGGAGGAGAGAGAGGGCTCTGGGTGGGCTGATGGCTGGGGAGCTTACAGACCAGAGCGAGCAGCGCCTTCAGGAGGTGAGAAGGAGCCCGGCGCTGGACTACTGCGCGTGAGGGAGCGCGCCAGTCCGTGAGGCTCGGGTCCTCTGCCCGGGCAGCACCACGTCCACACGGTCACTCGCGTGCACAGCACCCACACGCCAGCTGCAGCCACCCACGGGCAAGGCTAGCACGGTCCCCACACCCTCCATCCCTTGGTCACGGAGGCTCCTGGGCGGGGCTCACCTTGGGAGGGGCCTGACAGTGGATGTCTTTCCCAGCGAGGAGGAGCTGACCCTGACCAGGGAGAACTCCATCCGGAGGCTGCATTCCCACCACACAGACCCCAGGAGCCAGGTGTGTGCCCAGGCTGGGTTCCCGCGGGGGCGTGGCCACACTGGGACTTGCTTGGGCCTAGGTCCCCCACAGACCAGGAGCACAGCCCTCCCCAAGTCTGGCCACCGACTCAGCTGGGCGAGTCCGGGTCGCAACTGCTTTGGGTGTGCTGGGGCTGCTTCAGCGCTGGTCTGGGGGCTGCTCTGGGAAGCCGCCATCAGTGCTGGCTCCAGCGTGGGCTTGGGGTGGCAGTGGGGGAATGAAGGCTGAGCTGCCGGGTGGGGGCAGGGTGATTAAGAGGACACCGAGCTCTGTTCTAACTCCCCCCCATGTCCGGGCCCTGCAGCCGGAGGAGAGTGTAGGGCTGAGAGCCGAGGGCCACCCTGATAGTCTCAAGGACAACAGTAGCTGCTCTGTGATGGTGAGGCCCCCCCGGCCCCACCGGCACCCCCACTGCTTGCCTCAGGCCCCTCCCTGCTCCCAGATGTGGCGCAGCAACCCTCCACAGTCCTGCGCCTCAGCCCTGGGTCACATGCCCAGCCCAGCTCTCTGCCGTGCCTCTGTCCCCGTCCTAACACTTGTGCCTGGCCCCTATTGCTGAGCCCCTATGTCTCCAAGAGACCATGCCCCTGCTTGTGCGTGCCCTCTGACCCCCACCGTCACCTGCCCGTGCCCCCTGGCGACTGGCTGCCCTACCTCTGACTTACCCTCTGCCCTTGGTCCCCAGAGCGAAGAGCCAGAGGGCCGCAGTTACTCCACGCTGACCACTGTGAGGGAGATCGAGACACAGACTGAACTGCTGTCCCCAGGCTCTGGGCGGGCAGTGGTGGAGGAGGACCCTGACGAAGGCATCAAGCAGGCCATGAACCACTTTGTTCAGGAGAACGGGACCCTGCGGGCTAAGCCCACGGGCAATGGCATCTACATCAACGGGCGGGGACACCTGGTCTGACCCAGGCTGGCCTCCCTCCCCCAGGCCTGGCTCCTGCTGCTGACGTCGGGGGATCCCCGCTCTTCTCTGGGGCCTCCTTAAACGCCCCTATTTCTTGAGGAAGATGCTTCCCACCCCGCTGACTACTCCACCTTTCCCTCCAATTCTTCCATGTGTCGCGTCGGGAAGGCTCCACGGTGGAGTTCCTCTCACCACGTGTGCAGGTCACTGTGTGTGTGTGTGTGTGTGTGTGTGTGTGTGCATGCGCACTCGTGCCGCATGGGTGTTCTTCGACTGTGTGTGCATGGAAAAGCAGTGAGAGTACAAGTGAACCGTGCTGTGTGTGTGTGTGCAGGATGGCTGCGTGGACGAGGTCATCAAGGTTTGGTGTGTGTCGTGTGGCCGTGTGACCTGTCTGTAAGTGCAGGCATTTTTCCTGAGACCCCAGAGCAGTATTAATGACACAGAGGTTGGAGGGCCAGAGGTGGAGAGACTGTGGCCAGAGCCAGGTGTGCGGGCATGGCTGGAGCTGGAATCTGGCCTCCGAAGAGGGGGAGCCGGGCTCCCACCACTTAGGAGCCTTCGGGGCAAGTGTGAAGCAGCCTGCCAGGTTGCCAGAGGCTGGAACTGTTACAGAAGAAACTCTCCCCCCTCTGGTGGCCTGGGCCTGCCGCGTGTACATAAATGTGTAAATGAACCTGCACGGGGAGCTTTTCTGGAACACTGCTCCAAATTCTTTAAGGAGAGAAAACACTTTTTGAAAGCTTCCCCTTTGTCTGGATGCTTATTGCTGGAATGGCGTAAAGCGAGCCCAGCCTAGGTGGGGATTCCGCACAGCTACTCCTGGCTCAGGCCCCCACAGAGGGTGAATCCTGCAGTTCAGAAAGGTGCTCTTCGGATTTTGTCTTCATCTTAGCGGCCCTTAGCGAGGGAGCCTGGTGGTTCCTGACTAAGAGAGGACGGGGAAGGCCTCCACCCTAGTGGATTCTCAACGTTTCCCGTAGCCTGGTCTCATGTTAGTCGTGTCCCCAGTTGTTTGTGGTCCCTTGGGGAGTTGCGGGGACTTGGTGATGAAGACTCCTGGTTCGATTGTGGTGTAGGGGAGAGAGGTAGTGACTATAGACAAGAGCGGGTGGGCTGAGGGAGGTGCTGGCAGCGGGTGTCTCCTTTCCCCCAGGGGTTTCTAGGCCACTCATTCAGGACTCTTCCAGCAGTGTCTCTTGGTGGGGACTGGGATTAGATGAGGCGTACTGCATTTAGCCCATCCATGCTCACGCAGCCAGAATACCTAGATTTAGAGCCCAAGCCCCGTTAGCCTAAAATCTGCTGGATTTTGGGACTGAAGGAGAGGCTCCCATCTCTTCTCCAGCCAGCCAGGATCCTAGTATGTACATTTTATGTAAATATGTGCATATTTGTATATAATATGATATTCTGTTTTTAAATAAACAGATAAAACTTGTTCTGTCTGGTTCCTGTTTTGCCCCTCAAGCTGCGTGAACCCCGAGTCGCGTGCTCTCTGTCTCTACTGTCCTGCCTGTTGACCCATTAGGGGAAGAGTTAGGCTCCTG